GAAAGTAATTTTTTAATCAGTACCTAATTTTTAACCAATAAAAACTACTTTTAATTAATAAAAACTATTTTTTAATCACTTGCCTTCCTTCTCGGATGGGGAAAAACAAAATAAACTTTTTTCTTTTTTTTTTGTGTATTTTGTTTTAAAAATTATTAGAAATCATAAATTATTTTAAAATTAGTTATTTTGTCTTAATAACCTAAAATATTTTTTTATTTGTAAATTTTCGTTAAAGAGTCGTAGAAAAAATATACTGTACAACTCGAGTGGATTGTCCACATCGCTCTCAGACACTTGAGTACTCCGCCTACGGCGTCGTGTTTAAATTTCGTCTTCTTGCGATATGGCCATCATATCCACTCTAACAAGAGTGCAACAGCACAAACTACTATTTTATACACTCCTATGGATATTGGCTTATCTACGCACAGTCTATAAAATTAAATAGCATACTATTCCATTTAACTGATTAAAACTAAAATTCTAAATGTGGAGGTGGAGATGAGGATATGGCATCTATCTTCCCCGTAAGACGCTTGGGTTTGAATCTGGACGGGTAGGAGGGAATAAATAAATTTTATCTTTTTTTTTTTCATGTTTAATTTATAAATTAGTAAAAGTCATAAATTATTTGGAAAGTCTTAATAACCTAAAATATTTTTTTAAATTTTTAGATTTTCGCTAGTGGGTCGTAGAAAAAATATACTATATAACTGAAGTGGATTATCCATATCTCATTTAGACAACTAAACACTCCACCTACAAAGTCGTACTCAAGCTTCGTCTTCGTGCGATATGACCATTATATTCACTCTTGTTGCACAAACTACTATTCCAGTTCATGTCTTTCTATCTCAAAAAACAAAGTTTGAAACTGATTGATATAATTAAAAATTTGAAATCAACGTCATATGTAGTTTAAACAGTAGATTTTAAACACCATTAATAACTCATCCGAATGAACTAATACCCTATGGTAATCAAGCACAAATTCGAAATCGAGGCACACGGTGCACAAATGAAGTTACTGAAGCTATATTTCGTAATGCCAACTAATGTAATTTTTCTCATCCCGTGCAGTAAATCTACAACTAAATTTATTTCAAATTAAAGGTTGTATAACAAAATGAAAAAAAATTATTTCTTCTAAATAGCTACATGTTTATAAATAAATACTTGTTACTGTAAATCCAACATGTCCCGCCATAGAAAAATAAAAAGAGAAGGTTTGAATAAATGGCGGGACTTGTTTCCTTGTTGGTAGTTGAACCGTAAGCGCTTAACGCGCTGCTATCACTAAATTCAAACCCGTTTTACACCCATAAAAAAATATGTTTTTAAAAATAATGACAAAGAAATCAATAATTTTACTGATTTACCTCTTTAAATTTCACTTTAATATAATGTGTGATCAAATACAGGGATAATAGTTAATAAATTTAAAGTTAAAGCTAAATTTAAATATTATTAGATGGTGTAAATCTGGCTTTGAAAATAAATTAGGTTATGTTTCTATAAATATGTCAGCCATATGTCAGCCTGATATTATTTTCATTTTCAAATGCAGGTGATACTTTTTTCAATTGTAGGTGAGTAAATTGTATTAATTGTAAGTTAGATTTAACTATAGGTAGGTTCTTAAGAAAATCATTAACTTCTGATTCATTTAAATTTTAATTGCAGAAGTAAGTATTTTTCTCACAAAACTAACAAGAAATTTTATGTTTTTCCTGCTATTATTACTCTTTGTGTTAGAGATAAATGGATCCACATTTTAAACATTTGTGGTCAAAAAAACGAAAGGAGTTGTGAGCGAAATGTGTGAAGCCAATTTACAAACAAATATTGTAGAACCCGAGATAGAACCTCATCCTAGTTTCACTCATAAAAACCATGATGAAAAAAGGCGAATGATTTGTGCTCAAAAAGTTATTGTTCAATTTTTGGGTGATATTCAATATTATATTTATCAAATAATACCCAAATATGTTCAAAAACTTATATGCTATTTAGGTCAACTTGTTAATTTAAGCATAGTTCACCTATTAAGATCATAAGTCAGATGTTTTCTATTTTTATTGAAATTTTTATACCAATTTTTATTGCAAGAAAAATGTAAGAATTTAAAAAAGTTATGACTCCTGTTAATTTTTAATTTTAAGATACACACTGCACCTTTATTTTTGTTTTGTTTTAGATATTCCTGGGTATGGAGATTTTTGGAATGTGCATAAATGTGTTTCTTAATTAGGGTGAGTTTCAAAGCCCACCTGTATTGAAGCTGAAGGCTTATTGTACCCGAAGTAGGCATTACAACTATTCTAGATTGAAATAGATGGGAAAAAGCCTTAAAGGGACAATAAGTATAAGAATATTAGAATTAGAATGATTTGTCCTTGGATTAATAAGGGATATTTAAAACATTAAATCAATTGTGTTTATAAATTAACTACTTTGACTTTTTATAAAAACTATATCCGGTTTTTTTAATAATATAAACATTGTCATGTACTATGCTGGTTATCATATTATATTTTTATTTTTCAGTAATTTAGTGTGTGATATAGTGCTTGTTATGTTCAAAATATGCAGTTAGAAGATAATGAGACACATGTAAAAACATGGTAATTCTAAATAAATTAAACTTGTTTAAAATGTGTTTTATTTTTCAACTAATTTTATTTTTCAGTTAAAACAAGTGACATTTTCCATTTTTCAACATTTACCTATAACAAAAATTCACTAAACTTATTGTTTGTTTAGTAGTTGTAAGTAGAAGTTGTCAAATAGGAAAATGTTACTTCAAATTGCTTCAAATATCTAAATTATCAAGCGCGCCAATTTTTAAATCGCTTTAATTAGTAGTGTTCTACTTTATCGACTGAAACTGACAGGTGTAGTTCAACCGTAAGCGCTTAGCGCGCTACTGTCGAGGTCAAACAAAAGGCTAGCCGCACATTGAGGGCAGCGAAGCCTAGCACAACATAGCCGACCAGAGGAAACCTTTTTGTAACGTACATGAACAAACGCAGTGCCGCATATTGCACGTAATAACTTGTAAGGACTAGACGAAGGAAAAATTTTCTTCTGCCTGTGCTGCGTCCTCTGTAAAATGAACATAGTTTTTTCGGGATTGCGGCCTGACTGCGCGCAAAGACTACACCAAAATATATAGAAATTTTAGTGTTTAGAAATTTTAGAACCAACAAAATCAGCAAAATGGAGTTGTTAATTGAAAGTGTGAGGGAAAATAGGGTCTTGTACGATACTAGCCACCAAGATTATATGAGAACAAAATATAAGGATAAGATTTGGGCCCGAATTGCCACAGAACTTAATTATTTAAATGGTAAGTGGTAGATACTTTTTTATTACTATTTATCTATTAAAAATAAAATAACGAATGACCTTAAGGTTCAAAGCTAAAGTAAAAGGGGGATGTAAAGCGGCCTCCTTTAACATATTCTTTATTTAAATAAGTAATTTGTGATAGCAACAAAAGCTTTATAATTAATTAGTAGTGACCACGTTGGACTGAATGTTGTTGCCATGGCAGAGTTCCAGATGGAGAGTTGAAGCAGTCTCTGTATTTCTCTCTGACTAAATATGCCTCGTTTGCATTTCGTATTCTGTTGGGCAGTATAGGAAGTAACTGCGAATCTGAGAGCTGCGTATCATTGTCTTCTTCGAAAATATAATTTGTACTCCCGCAGAGAAAATTATGAAGTACGCATGTGGCTATGACAATATCATCCACGGTTTCCAATTTACATTCAAAAGGTCTTCGATACATTCGAAACCTGGCTGCCAGTATTCCAAAGGCGCATTCCACAGTTTGTCGAGCTCGAGATAATCTACGATTAATTATGTCAGTAAACAAGAAACCCGGTTAAAATTAAAATTAATTAAAATTAAAATTAGAAAACTGAGCTTTTGGAAATGGACGCATCAGATTAGATTTTAATGGGAAAGCTTCATCCCCTAAAAATACATATGGTGTATTGTCTTCTTGGCCAGGTAAAGGTCTGGGAACTGGTAATTCCAAGGTACAATTGTTTATTTTTATTCCTAAATTACTGTTGCTAAATATTATCCCATCACTAAATCGACCCATTGAACCTACATCAATAGTAGTGAACCGACAGTTTGCATCTACAGTGGCCATTAGGACGATTGAGCAGTACTGCTTGTAATTAAAAAACAAAGATTCGCTTTGACCTGGTTTTTTAATTATATGTTTACCATCTATTGCACCTAGGCAGTTATAAATTTGCCATTTATTTTCAAATTCTGCTGAGATTGTCACCCAAGTATTCTTTATGGGATTCGGCATGTATTGCGGTTATAAGCATTCTCAAAGTACTTTACAAACTTCTTTAACTATTTTTGATACAGTCCTTTCCCCTAACCTATAAAAAAATCCAATGGTTCTGAATGTATCTCCTGCGGCCAAATATCCAAAAAAATTGTGAACCTAAGTAAATGATTACTAACAGATATGATTCACTCTTTTTTAGGACAGGAAGTGAACAAAATTTGAAGAAAACTAAGAGATTGCCATCGCGAGCGATGCATTGCGACGACAAGGAAAGAGAAGGAGCGGAGACGCTGCAAAGGCAATAAAGTTATGGATTTACCAGAAGCAGATGGAATTTCTTCTTTCATTTATGGCTAATAAAAACACAACAGGAAACGTTGACATTTCGCAGGATGAGAAAAGCAATACTACTGAAGATAACTTGGTTTCGCCTGCATCGCAAGACATTACTGAAGGAGCGAACGAAAACACACAAGATGACGAAGTGGACTAGGCGGGAGAACCACAATACATTCAACGTTCTAGAGGCAATACAGTCGCTACTCCTGATACACCAAATATAGGTGCCAAAAAAACGAAAAATTGATATTATGTTACACAACACCTTGGAAAATCATACAATAAGAAAGCAAAGAAAGAGACGAAGAACGAAAACGTATATCATTACTTGAAAAAAAAAATGGGTAATGAGAAAGAAGATGGTTTATACCAGTTTTTTATGGCAATGTACAATGATACTAAGAATATGTCAAAAATATCTCAATTGCGAATTAGAAGGAAAATTTTTGAGGCTGTCCAGCTTGAAGATGAAACAAATTTGGCGTTGAATTTTTCCCAAACAAGTAGCGCGTCATTGCACCCACCACAACATTGTATAGGATTACCATTACCTAGCCCTTCATCACATGGTAGTTCCACATACGAACAATTGCCAACAGCGAAGTCACCACCACAACTAAATTACGAACCACTTCGACCAACTTCAGAGCAATCTTATGCCATACAAGCAACTTCCAAAGAAGTATTTTTTCCGAAGTACTTTGGAAATTTTAGATATAATCAAAATAGTTAATGTTTGTATAATCAAAATAGAAAATGTTTGTATAAAAGTGTTCATACCTCAAACATACTGCAAGATTAGTTTCAGTTTCGAGAGGCTGTTGTGCGTTACAACCTATTCCTTGTATTTTAGTTTTAATTATGTTATGTATGTTATGTTATGTTATGTTATGTTATGTTGATAATGGGGTGTTAATACACTGCGACATAAAAGATCTATTGTGCCCCCTTCTGTCGCCACTGCACTAAGGAAATGTCTCAATGCCTATAGCGACCCTTCTAATCCTATTTTCTCAAGGAAGTGTAGGATTTGAAGTGGCTTCAAGTTAGGTAAGTCTCCCTCTTCTATTTAATATCCTCCTAGATATAGTGCCTTTGGATTCTGGAGTGCTACATTTATTATGTTATGTAGTTCTTGAAACTGTTCTTTAGTAACCCTGAAATACATTTTCATTCGATTATCATCAAGTTCACTTATTAAATTGAATTCCCCATGAGTGCTTATTTTCCTCAAATAATCGTTTTTCCATACTGATTTTTTATGTCTTTTGGACAAACTATATAAAAAGACAATATTTTCTATTTTCGAATCTGATTCCGAATCAAAAAGTAAGTTTAACTGATCGGCTGGATCCATATTTTTTTTAAAAAACTATAACGGAAACACAGGAAAAATTAACTACCTACGTTCAATATGCGGATATCGCTTTGGCAGAGCACAGGAATAGTTTTCCTCTGTAGTTCCTTCGCTGTGCTAGGCTACGCTGCTCTCAATGTGCGGCTAGCCTAACTGCTCACCTGCTTGTACTAAGTTTACCAATGCAATCGCGGCCCGTTCCTGAGGTTCCGCAGAAGACTGTTGAGCTCATGCGGCAGAAATTTGTGCTTCGACAGCTTCAATTTGTTTTCGTAGACATATCTTCTGTAGTTGGATTAGTGACTCCTCTTTTTCAGCTGTTTTAGGACCTTTACGTGTCGTGGCTTTAACTTGCTTGGAACCAGATTTGGAACTGGGAAATTCATATTCACTGTTTTGTGAGGAAACCCCAGCCTCACTGGTTACACCCGCCTGACACGCACCTGGTACCCTGTATAAGACTGGATTTTCTCCTACGTTCCATAAATCGTAGAATTTTCTCTGCCATTCAGTCAGTAAGATTTTTTGTTTCCAGTTTTTTTACGTCAAAAATTTTTGTTTTCATGTTACTGAATTTTTTAAAATTTATTTTGCATCTAGGTTTCTTCCTATTATTTAAATGAAGTCAGCAGTCAATTTTTTTAGTGCATCTTCTTTTTTGTTTTTGATTTTTGGTGTCATTCTTTTATTAAACAAAATTTGATAATCCTCAAGGAGAGTAGCAAATAACAATTGTTCATTTTCATCCTTGCCTAACTCCTTTGTCGCTTCGGAATCAGAAGAGTCACTGATACTTGTAACTTTCCCAAAATAGTTTAAGACTAAATGTGAATCCATTATTGCAGGCACTGATGGAAAAACAAGTTCTAACACAATTGTTGTGGCACGCCGCACGACTGTAGTACATACTTCAGTTAAGTAGTGGGTACTTCTGTTGTCCTGTACAGTTTAGTGTGTTCTTCGTAGGCGAAGCAGATACTTCCATGTAAAAGCAAATGCTACAAGGTAGATACTTTTGGGTGAAGCAACAGCATTTACTACTTTTTATGCATTCTACGCATTGTTAAGCCTTATCCCCTTTTCTTTCCTAAATTTCGTTATTTTAAAGACAAAGATGCATTTTAATAAAATATTTTTGTGCCAATACTATTCCTATTTCTTCGAAAAAACTACGACATATCGGGGTTTACAAAATGCGATCACCTGAGAGTCAGCAGTAGCAGAAGCTCGAGTCCAAATATAGTTTTGAGAACGTATATTTTGTTTAACATTGTTTTAAACTGCCACCTTAAACATTATGTTTTAAAACACTCTAATTACATTCTTTTACGAAAGTATTGCCTTTTGAAAAGTTCTATATGTTTTACTTTATCGTTGAAATTCTTGACGAAGAGATCCTAGACTTCTGCATTTTAGATATCCATTATATATCAATTAATGGATGTACACTGCATATGTTAAACATCTATGATATAACCGGTGGTTACCCATAAACCTCTACTAAAGATGCCCATACCCAAGCAGCAAAAAAATGCTCAAAAGAGTTATATAAACAACTATATAACAATTTGTTATAAAAATTGTATATTTTAAAAGCATTGTATAGATGCACTTATAAACACGGAAAAGGCGCAGGTTTATAAAATAAATGTGATTGTTAACAGTTTTATTATGGGGTATAAAAGTAAGTATAAAACATTCTGGAGTATGTTATAAAAATTTTATATAACTTTTCAAAATTATATTATTGGAACTATCAACATACCTACAAAATAAGTTTGTTTTTGAAACTACTATTATATAATAGTTTTATGGATATTATATATTTGTTTTATAGATATGGCTTACGACCATATTAAAATATTTAGAAACGACTTATAAAATTGTTGTTTAAGAGTTTTATAATTATTTTATAATACACAGAATCAATTTATTCGCAACATTTAGATTTTATGCGACACAATATAGTTTTACAGTTATGTAAATTAAAATTAAATTGTGGTGACAAAGACAAAACAGATTTTTAAGATGCTCAGAATAAGCAAATATGTAATGGCGATAGTTTTCATGTAATAAACTGTATGACTATTATTTTCACTGTTTATCCAGTAATTTCTTTTGTCACACAAATTTTACTGACATTATATATGCCTAATTATGGGAAAATTTTCACGGGCCCTGAATTTAATTAGTTGTTATTAAAAAAAATTACTTTAATAATTTAATTGTTTCAAAAATTTACCTAAATTAGTAAATATTGATAGTGTCTATTGTACAAAGTATTTGCTTATTTTCGATATCTGAAAAAACTAGTGTAAAAATTTATTAATAATTTTGAAATAGTTTACACATAAAACATGGTAGACATTATATTTACTGTTTGATAAACGTATCTAAGATGAAGTCAATCAATTTGTTGTTACGGAAACAATTATGTAACTAAACTATAGTGTAGTTGTTTCTAATAAAGCAATTATATTTCTAAATTGTTATATAATGCTTATTTTTAAGACACGTTCGTTTTATAATTGGAAATGACGTAATTTATATCTCCTTAGGTACTTTCGCATTTCCAATGTTACAATATTTCTAATAAATTGAAATAATTTTAATATTATTAATCTAAATTGAGGTCTAAATCTTAATCTTCATTATTTATATCATAATATGTTTAAGATTTATATTTGCGATTTTCACTAGATTCCTAATTTTTTATCCTCTTCTCATCTAAATTTAAAAAAAAGCTTCATTGCATTTAAAATTTTCGAGAAAAATGGGAACATTGTCAACTTTTTCATGCATTTTTTCATGGCCATTTTCATTGCAAAAATTTTTTCGCCGAATATATACGCTGATCTCTTTCTGAGATATTGCCAGCGTCCATTTTTAGATTCCCACCCGGTACATAATAGAATCTCAAAACAAATTCGAGAGACGCTAAATATATATACATATATCTTATCCAGACTGAGGCCTCATGGACCGGAAAATGATATATATTAGGACGTTGAATTTTCAGGTATATATTTTGACAGACTAAACCACGTAGAGGATCTTCACAAACCTTGGTTTATAAGAATCAATCCAAATAAAATTTTGATCAGGGCTTACAATTAAATTAATTACAAATCAAAATTAAAAAAATATAAATTGTTATGTTATTATCTTTATTGTTTTAATTTATTATTATAGATATATTTTGTATTACTTACCTTTTATCCTTTTTTAATCTTTTTCCGGCTTGTCTTTGTTTCGAGCAAACAGATTCTCTCTCTCAAGGGCGGTTCAGTTAAATATGACAGCTTAATTGTAAATTAATTTTTTTCTTAATTGTATACCTTGATTGAAATATTGTCCTTTTTTATTTAATTTTACCATACTATATTTTAAATTGAAATAAATTTGTTTAATTTTATACACAAATTAACCATTAATACCTTTTTTTTTTAAATTAACATAAATTATTTAATAAACACTTAACAAGAAATACTTACTTAATTATCTAAAATTATATATCGTTAAAATCATTTTAAATATTTAAATTGGTATTTAAATTTACTGTTAAAATAATTTCAACTTCTTAGTTGAATTAGGCCTAATCCCTTTAGAAAAAAAAAAAAAACTTAGGACTATCTATTTTATAAAGTACAATTTTAATTTTTAATAATTATTGTGTAATTCATTAGATAATTACTTTATCCTACACGTTGCGCCATCTATTAACAATCTTAGTAACTTTTAATGTATAATGAACTGAGCAGATCAATCAGGGTTCTTTAGGTGAACCTCCATCATGTCAAGGCGTCCACCGCTACAGTATGTAGGAGGTTCGACAAAGAGGGTCTAGATTTGGCCCTCTTGCAAGAACCCTCGTTACATGGCGGGAGGGTAGCAGGCCTAAAACCCAACCAAGGTAAGATTCTGTACAACGAAAGGTCTAAAAGACCACGCGCATGCATCTTATATAACAATAGGGTAAATTGTGTACTAATACCGGTGCTGTGCACCGCTGATATTGTTACAGCTCTCCTAACTACGCCGACAGAGGAAGGAACAAAAAGATGGCTAGTCTGTTCTGCATATTTCCCAGGCGAGGAGCTATGTCCCCCGCATATAATGGGCGAAATAGTCTCATATGCGGCAAGGGCTAACCTCCAACTCATCATAGGATGCGATGCCAATGCCCATCACACCATTTGGGGAAGCACGGACATCAACATAAGAGGTGAGTCTTTATTACAATTCATCTTATCCGAAGGTTTACTAATTGCTAATATAGGTAACAAACCAACTTTCGTCACGGCAATGAGAAAAGAAGTCTTAGATATGACTCTGTGCTCGAGTAAAGCAAGTGATAACATTTCAAAGTGGCATGT